TGGTGAATCCTTTCCAGAAGATTTTTAGTTGACTTTTTCCAGATCCATCAGAAGAATTACTATCTATGGAGCTACAGCCTTACAAAATGTATTTCTTATTATTTAAGACTTGAAAGTTGAAATGACTCTTTGATCCATGGGCTGCAGAATGAATGTTGTGTTAGCAGGCATGAAACAACATTGATATCATCATACATCTCCATCAGAGCTCTTGGGTGACCAGGTGCATTGTCAATGAGCAGTAATTTGAAAGGAATCTTTTTTTTTTTTTTCTGAGCATAGATCTCAACAGTGGGCTTAAAATATTTAGTAAACCATGTTGTCAACAGATGTGCTATTATCTAGGCTTTGTTGTTCCATTTATAGAGCACAGATGAACAGTTTAGCATAATTCTTAAGGGCCCTAGGATTTTTGGAATGGTAAAGGAGCACTGACTTCAACTTAAAATCACCAACTGTGTTAGCCCCTAACATGAGAGTCAGCCTGTACTTTGGAGCTTTGAAACCAGGTTATTGACTTCTCCTTTCTAACTATGAAAGTCCTAGATGGCATCTTCTTCCAATATAAGGCTATTTCATCTACATTGAAGATCTGTTATTCAGTGTAAGCGCCTACATCAGCACTTGCTGCTTCACCTGCTCTTTCATGTTATGGAGAAAGTTCATGAGGGACCAGCTTTTTTCTCCTAGCTTCAGACTCCTGCAGCTTCCTCACCTTTCTCAGCCTTCATAGAATTGAAAAGAGTTAGAGCCTTGCTCTGGATTAGCCTGTGGCTTGTGGGAACTTAGTGACTGTTTTGACCTATTCAGACCACTAAAACTTTCTCCATATTAGCAGTAAGGTGGTTTTACTTTCTTATCATTTGTATGTTCACTGGAGTGAAAACTTTTCTTTGAATTCACAACTTGGCTGTTGGCTCAAGAGGACTCACTTTTGGCCTTTCTTGGCTTTTATCATGCCTTTCTCACTAAGCTTAATCATTTCTAGCTTTTGCTTTAAACTGAGAGATGTGCAACTCTTCCTTTCACCTGAACACTTACAGGCCATTGTAGGGTTATTAATTGGCCTAATTTTGATATTGTTGTGTCTCAGGGAATAGAGAGGCCCGAAGTGGGGGAGACAGGGGACAGCTGGTCAGTGGAATAGCTGGAACACACACAGCATTTATTGATTGAGTTTGTTGTCTTATATGGGCATGGTTTGTGGTGCCTGAAAACAATTACTGATTATAGATCACTGTAGCATAAATACTAATACTAATAAATAAAGTGTGAAATTTGCAAGAATTACCAAAATGTGACACAAAACATGAAATAAGCAAATGCTGCTGGAAAAATGGCACCAATAGACTTGCTTGACAAAGTGTCACCACAAACCTTCAATTTGTAAAAATGTCGTTTCTGCAAATTGCAATAAATCTAAGCACAATGAAACAAGTTATGCCTGTAAAAAATGTTTTTTTACAGGGTAGTTTAGTGGTGGTAGTTGGAAATGGCTGGATTCTGAAACTGTCAGTAGGACTGATGTGATTTGCTGATTAGTTTTATGAGCTGTATGAAAAAAAGAGGAGCCAGAGGTTTTTAGCCAGAGCAGTTGGAAGAATGAAGATGCCATTTACTGAAATGGAGACGATTACAGGAGGAATAAATTTAGGGGGAAGATCTAGAGTTTAGTTTTGGACATCCTATTAGATACCTAATTATAAATGTTATTTATTACCAGTAGATATTAACGATTATAATCATTCATTAGATATTTATTGGCTCTATGGTAGAGTTTGCTATTCTGTATTCTAGGATTAAATGATGGTCAAAAACAGACACTGTCCTTGCCCTTACGGAATTAACAATCTAACGAAGAACATTAAGAATTGATCAAATAATCATATTATTGGTAGTTTTTCCCCTTAAAAAAAACCTTTTAAATAGATTACCTAAAAAGAAATAAGGATGACTTAACAAAATCACAAATATCCCTTGATACGTAAATTTATTAGGTTCTTATGTTCAGATTGTGAGGGATACAAGTACATACCTTACAATTTTCTCACTTAATGACATTCTTAAAATTGGCTAGCTTAATTACACGAGGGAATGAAGCTTCATGAATTTAATTTTATTTAGACGAAATGAGGTAGCTGTGTATTGAATCTAGCATTTAAAGGTGGTGTTTATTTCATGAAATGTTTAGGCTATTGGGAATGTTCTCTGTTTCTTTCATTAAAAATGTTTTTACTTTTTCTTAGTTAGCTAAGGATCATTTTTGTTTTGTAACTAAAGTCTTTAAGAATAGCATTATAGTGTAATCTGTTCATCTTTTTCTCATAAAATTAAAGTATTAATTTTTCTGTTTTAAAAAATCAACAGGTTCGTCATAAGGCATCACAGAAGGTTTATGCTATGAAGCTTCTTAGTAAGTTTGAAATGATAAAAAGATCAGATTCTGCTTTTTTCTGGGAAGAAAGAGATATTATGGCCTTTGCCAACAGTCCCTGGGTGGTTCAGGTAAGCATACTAATAACTATTATAATTTTATTTCCCTTCTTTGTAAGTGCTTATTACTGATTTTACATGCTAAAAATCCTGTCTCATTTGCAAAATGACAATGCAGTCATTTTTAGTAAGATCTGATTTATTACACTTATTTAATGTTCCAAAATATGATGTCATAAAAATTGGTGTATAGTAGCAAGAATTACTAGCAGCTTTCTCTTTTTTAATTCTTTTATAAAGAATTAGATTACCAGTATGCCATTGTTTCCTGTTTACTCTTGTGATTTATATAATAGGAGCAATAATAAGCCTATCTTGAAAAGGGGAAAAAAACCTTTAAAACTACATTAAAAATTTTGAAAATTCTCCTGTAGTCCTTTATATATTATTACCTATGATGTAATAGGACAGTATTGAGATTCCTAATTCAAATAATTAAACAGACAGACAAATAAACAATCTCTTATTTGACTGTGAAGTTAGGAATTTATGGTTCTGTTTTGCCTCCTTTTCAATTCTATCCCTCACTAGCTTTGCATCTCGAAAGTTTTTTTGTACCGTTAGCTAATTCTGCAAACATTTTTGATCAAGTGTCATGAGTAAGACTGGATATATATGAAAGCATGTTCAGAATGCTTCAGTGATCCAGGAGTTTGTTACCATGTTTGAAGAAGGTGATTTGTAGGTAAAAGATGTACCACATTGATGACTATGTTGCTTTTTTTATGATGTTGAGCATTAACCATCCTCCTCCTCCTTACCTTATTTTTTAAATGTAGCCAGTGAGTAGAAATTCTGATATGTGCAGCTAACGTTAAAATTTTTGTAGCAAATTATGTATCATGATAATTTACCTGATTAAGAAATGATGGTAATTAATTAAATTATTAGTCCACTTTTAGCTTTAAATTGCTTTTGTAGTAACAGATTAATTGCCAATTCTAGTTTATCATTTTGTAAATTGGTGTTTTTAATCTTTAATTCTGCAGAGTGGACCTTTATAAAATGTTTATTTAGATAGAGTTAATGGGTTTATGGAAGCAAATCAACAGTGACACATTGTACACTTGAAAAAGTAACAGACTATAATCCCGATTTTCATTTGTTTATCTCTGGTAAAGAAAATTCGATTCACCACTGTATTTATGTATGAAATGTGTAACTTTTGGGGAAAACTTGTCAAAATAACTGACTTATTTCTATTTATTTATTTTATTATTCAGTGATTTTTGGCATATTTATAGAATTGTACTGTCATCACTACTTCCTAATTACAGAACATTTTTATCACAAAAAGAGCCCCTGAACCAATTAGCAGTTATTCCCTAATCCTTCCTGCCCAGCGGCAACCACTAATCTGCTTTCTGTATCTGTGAATTTCCCTATTCTGGACGTTTCATTAAAATGAGATCATACAATACGTGGTCTTTTGTGACATCTTCTTTTACTTAGCATAATGTTTTCAACATTACTTTGTGTTATAGCATGTATCAATACTTCATTCCTTATGGCTGAATAATCTATTGTATGGACATACTACATTTAATGTATTTATCACTTAATGGACACTTGGGTTGTTTCTGCTTTTTGACTGTAGTAAATAATGTTGCTGTCAATTTTCTTTCATATGGATTTTGGCACATATGTTCACACATTTCTGCTAGGGATCTCTCTTGTAGTGACATTAATAGGTCACAGGAGATGCCTATAATCAATTTTAGAAGATTATTTCAAACAGTATTTCAAATCTCAATTCTTATTTTTTTATTTTCTTATTGAGTTGTAGTCAGTTTACAATGCTGTATCAATTTCTGGTGTACAGCACAATCAGTCCTTATTTTTTAATGGCTGTTTAATATTTAATTGTATGACAGCCCCTGTAATTTGTTACTATACTGTTGTTGAAAATAATTATTTCACTTTTCTTATATAAATTATGGTGTAGTATAAATCTTTGACCCATCTGTATTTTTAGAAATATAGTCTTAGTGTGATTTGAATTCAATAGATGAATATTGGCACATTTTAAAAACTTTTTTAACTGATGGCAGGTTTGCTTTTATAAGCCGTCTATATATCAAGTTTGCTGTGTACTTTGCCTGTTTATAGTGTCCTTTTATGATAAACACTTCCCTGCTTTCTGTATAGTTTCATACATCCATTAAGTATATTCTTAAATACTTTTAGTTTACTTTTAGCTTTTATAATATTTGAATTTAGATAATTTCTTTTAAGCCTCTCAATCTAGAGTCTCCATCTTCTGTTTTTTTTTTTCTTTTGTCCCATTAGTTTATTTGAGAAATCTGTTTTGTTGGTTGATTTCATCCAGTAGTGTAGTTTTAACATGTTCTGCTCTCATTTATATTTTTCTAAGTTGGTGATTGAATATAGAGGCTCTATCAGAATCGGACGTGATGATGGAGGGATGGCAGGACAACTTCATGGATAATGTTTTGTTCTATTAGGAGGCTCATGTCTGGCTGTTATTCTTTTATTTTACTAGCTATTTGTGCTCAATGTCTAAATCATTCATTTTTTAAGGATTGCAAAGTGGTGACATTCCAGTTCAATTATTTCTTCTTGATTATAGTGACTGGAATACTTCTATAAGGAGAAATATTCCCCCATTTACTAATTGGTTGTACAGAGTAGTACAGGTCACAGAGGAAGGACAGCTTTATTCGTTCCTTGTATTTACCAGTTTTCAAAATAAGGGATTAGTTACCTTTTATCCTCCAAAGGTGACCAGTTTGGGAGAAGTATCAGTTTGAACTCATGGACTTAAAACCTATTTGATGTGTTTCAGCCCTCTGAACATCTTACTGATGCTCAAATTGTGACACCTTTGGCAAGTGATCATGTTTAGGTTGGCTCTGAGTCCTTTTGACATAGTCTTTGATAGCTAGCTTGCTCTCTCATACATGACAGTTTTCCAGACCTGTCTTGTACATTTTCTGTCCTTCACGTGGAGTTAACTGACTTGTAGGTCCATCTTTTGTGCATGTGTGAATATTTCTTTAGAATTGATTCCTAGTACTGAAATTGTTGGGTCATATGGTATGCACATTGGACATTTTGAATGATAGTGCCAAATTGCTTTGTAAAAAAGGTTTTTACAAGTTCATGTTATGCTAATTGTCAAATAGATGTCTTATTTTCAGCAAATACTGCAATTTTAAAATAAAAATTTTTAATTTTTATTAGTTGCATCCTTGAGAAATAAAATGTTATTATGTTACATTTTTTAATTATGAAGTTCATAATATTTTGCATGCTTATTAATAATTTGTATTCCTTGTCCATTGCTTATTCCATTTTCTAATATGTTGTTTTGCTTTTATAAAAATTGGCTTGTTAGAATGCTAATACATCCTGGATATTGATCCTTTGTTATATATGTTAGAAGTATATTCTCTTGGACTATTACTTGTCTGTCGTTTATTGAATTTTTAAATTTGGATGTAGTCAAATCTATAGATTTTGTATCTTAATTTTTGTTGGGGGACACCTTCCCTATCCCTAAGATTATTTAAGAAAATGATTATATTTTAACTTTTTTATGTTTTTATTTTGGGAGTGGAGTTTTATTTCTAAGTCACTAGGATTTTTTTTTTTAATGAAGTAGGATTTGTTTTTCGCAGATGGGTAGCCAGTTTCCCCAATGCCATTTGTAGAAAAACCCATTTTTACCCCATGAAGTAAATGAAGAGTACTGCATATCATAGACTAAATTACCATATACACATGAATTTCTCTTTTCACTGTGTCCCGTTACTTTGATTTGTTATTGGTTTCTGCACTAAAATCATTGTTTAAATTTCTGTAGTTTTTCATTTATTTTGGTATCTGGTTGGACAAGTCTCCTCTAAATGGTCTCCTTTAATTTTTTTTGTGGCAACTCTTAAAATTTTTCTCTATGTGATTGAAATTAGCCTTTCATTCTTTTAAAAAATACAGTTGAAATTTTGACTTGCATTGCTTTAATTGGTAGGGTTGTTTTGATTATTTCGGAATCTTAGGTCTTTCCGTAACAGTATTGTATAAAGCCTGTTCTTCAGAAAAAGCCACATTAGTTTTTCTTCCAAAATAGGATGAGAAGAAACTTAGGCATAACAGTTTTTAAAATATGTAGATATTGCAAAATATAAAAAAATAGCATAGGCTTAGTCTTTCAGTATAACATTGAATAGTAGAAGATTTTTGTTATTTTGCTTATCTTTTTCATTATTGTGTTAAACTTCATTGGGTGGAGCTCTAATATTTAACTATTAAATGTGATGTTTGCTGAAGCTTTCTGGTTAAGACAGTAAAGAATTTTCCCTGCCCATCTATTCTTAGCTTACCAAATACTTTTTTAATCAGGAATGATCTTAAAGTATTGGAAATGTTTCCTTCAGCATCTTTTAAGGTGGTTTTCTTGTTTAATCTGTTACTATAGTACACTAAAAAAATAAATTGCAAGGTATTGTAAAATCTAAAGTAAATGCTATTTCTGTGATATTTTCAATAGAATACCAAATTTGATTTCCTTATATTTTAATTAATTATCCATCTATTTGCATAAATGACATTTGACTGACTATCTATCTATCTATCTATCTATCTATCTATCTATCTATCTATCTAGTGGAGGTACTGAGGATTAAACCCAGGACCTCATGCATACTAAGCATGTGCTCTACCACTGAGCTTTCCGCTCCCCGAAACTTAATTTTTTTTAACATGGACTCTTCTGGTTGGTTTTCATCTCATGGTGAGACCACCCTAACGTACATGGTTGAAAAGCACACCACCTTTTTTTCTGAGCCTTGGTACAGTTTATATAAAATAGAAACTATTCGTTCCATGAGGCTTCTTTGAACTTGCTTGCAAATCTTTCAAGAAAAATTTCAATATATTTAATGATATACTTTTTAGTTTTTAAAATTTATTATGATAAATCTCACAGTAGAAAGAATGTTAGAATTCCCATGTATTGTTCACTCAGCTTCTACAGTTACCAACCATAACCA